ATAAAAAGGAGAAATAAAACCCAGGACACTCACCGTCAGCCGGGCTGCCACCACAACAGGGCCCCCTCCTCAATGGACACCTCCCAGCGGCCTTCCCATTGGACAAGGCGGGGCTAGGCAGACGAACGTAGGGGGCAGGAAGTTGCACTGGGATCCGGCTGGTGGGGGTCCAGGGTCCAAAACGAAACAGGGAATGCAGGGAGGGCTTCGGGACTGAGAAGGGTTAGGGAACAGGCAGGGCTGAACTGAAGACATGGGGCCAGAGGGCGCAGCTGGGAAGCCAGGGGGTTCGGGCGGATGTCCCGAGGGCGCAGCTGGGAGGCCAGGGGGTTCGGGCAGATGTCCCGAGGGCGCAGCTGGGAGGCCAGGGGGTTCGGGCGGACGTCCCGAGGGCGGAGCGGAGGGACCTGAGGGCGGACTGGGGGAGCGGCCCGAGGACAGAGCAGGGGAGCCAGGGAGGTCCGGCGGGCAGCCCAAGGACTGAGCTGTGCCACTCGAGGGCGGACTGGGGGAGCCAGGGAGTTCAGGGGGGCGGCCCGAGGGATGGGCTAAGGGACGAGATGACCTCTCCAGAGGCTGGGGAACCGGGCTAGGGGCTGGCAGCGCGACAGCAGCAGCAGCTGCTCTGCACAGCCTCTGAGAAACTATTTACCTGGCCAAAGGTCAAAAGCGCCAGCTTTTAGCCTGTGTGACTCGAGCCCCTCCACTTTTCCTCCAACAGCTCCTTGCACAGCTGACTAGCTGCCTCCTGAAGGGCGGTTGCTGGGTCTATAGTTGGCTTGATCGTTCTGTTATGGTTTTGTGTGGTGTGGGGACAGAGAGGAACCAAATGCAATGTTCGAAGGGAAGGAGGTTTATTGAGGGAGAAAGGGGTAGAGGGACTGGAGTGGAGGAAGAGGTGGATGTCGGGAAAGCACAGGCACGGGGAACCAAGGAGACAGGGGGCCAGGGAGCTGGGGAACACTGGGACCGAGGAAGCGAGGAGAGGCGGGGGAACAGGGAGGACGCCGTGAGGGAAGTCTGAGGCGGAGAGGGCCGGTGGATGAGCCCAGCCGACTGAACGGAGGACGAGGGTGAGTGTACCTGGGAGGGAAACAGACAGAGAGACAGGGTTAGGGATGACGGTGACAAAGCACAGGGAAAATGTGAAGAAACATGAAAGCCTGAACACGGAGGTGGCACCGGGTATGGAGCAACGATGATCAAGCGAGGATGGTGTGGAGAACCGGGGTTGAAATACAGGCAGTCATGAGGTGATTACTGGCAGGTGTGGCAGGCTGACGAGGTGGCTGATGAGGTGCAGGTGCAGGTAGTTGGCTGGGCTCAGGAGCAGAGGGAGAGGGAGCACACAGGGGAGAAAACACAGGGAGGCAGGCAGAGAACAGAAAACCAAGGAAAAAGCAGAATAACTGATAAAAAGGAGAAAAAAAACCCAGGACACTCACCGTCAGCCGGGCTGCCACCACAACACCATATAATAATATATATATATATATATAATAGAAAGGCATTGTCAGGGGAGGATCAAGGCTCCTCTCGCTTTGCTTAATTAGATGTGCATGTATATATCACCAAAATGTCTTTTTTAATTTTTTGAAATACAACAGAAACACAAAGTAGTACTGACAGCCATAATTTCAGCTTGTGGTAAAACGGTGCAACGTTTTTAATGGGCATTTAGCATGTGAAAGTACAAGTTACACATTTGTGTGCACAGTGGGAAGCAATATCCAAGAAAAAACGTAGGGGAGAGCAGGGGCTTTTCAGAAAAACCTGATTTTAAAAGATAATGTTTCAGACAGAGATATATTTTTGCTGTGGTCACTAACTCACAGGTGTGGTCTATCAATATCAGGTGGTATTTTGTGCAAATGTAGAACGACTTCCGTATAATTTCAGTGGCACATTGTTACTTTCGACCCCGTCAGGTGAGACAAAAGTAACACAACAATACAAGCTAGATTGTTTGTGTTACGCTTGTATTTAATAAATAAACATGACCTTGTTAATGTGTAACTGCAAACATCTTTTGTCCTTTATCTTTAAAAAAAAATTAAATTACATTTTTATTTTAAATATTCAGTTTCAAAAGTAACCTGACAGCCCAAACTTTAATTGTTTAAAATATTTCATATTATATTAAGGATATATTATAATATATAATGTAAATATGCAAATGTGTGCACCTAAAACAGGGGGAAATGGTTAGATGGAGACTGTTTATGAACCTGACATGATTAAAATAAAATAAGACTTTACTGATCCTGCACTGGGGATATTTGCATGTTGCAGCAGTTTCAGAAACAGTGAAAAAATGAAACATAATTAAATAAATAAAGTTAATAAAGTTAGGACAAAAATGGAAATAAACGATAAAATTAAGATTAAAATTAAAAAGCTATTTACAGAATAGGCCTATACAAATTTCACATTTTGAAATTAATTTAAATTTGTTTTAGTAAGAACAGTATGAGTGATCTGCATTTTGATTGCTTTTTACTGACACCTACTACACTGACCTCCTTAGGAGACAGGCCAAAATAAATATCAGCTCTCTTAATATGGACTAGGAGTCCTCCTAGTCCAAGGAGAAGACTTAATAATGTGATCTGTACCTGTGGTCTAGTCTTCTCCCCAATTATCTCTGCCCTCCTCCTGCATTATCTGAACAAAGCGCTCAGCATGGGCCTTTTTAGCTGACCTGAGACTAATGTTTTCTAATAGAGATGTCCAGAGATGCCTTTTCATAAACATCTGGCTGAATCAGACCTCTGTCTTTCTGACCCATGCTATTGGCATATTCTGTTGGTATAAGGGACGAAAGTAACAAGTGTTCCTTTCGTCCCGACAGGAACTCCTGACATATAAACACGATTTATTTTTACACTGAAAAACCCTGACAGGGCAAACTTCAGGGTGTGTTAAAGCACTAAACCCTGTAGATTAATCATTACTGTGACACGTGAAACGAGAGACACGACTTGTAATTCGAAAAAGAGTCCCGCTTCAGAAATTTACTTGCCGTGCTCGAAAACAGTTTTCCGAAGACGGCTGCAGCAAACGATAACAAAATCATGTGATATTTAGCAGCTCCATCAAGGGTTGTCTGCAGAAGGAGCTGCCACTGCTTGGACTGCAAATGCAGACAGGGCTCTGAGAAAATCGCCTTGTTACTTTCGTCCCGTGTTACTTTCGCCCCGGTTTACCCCTATAAAGTATTCATTATTGTTCGCTTGATAGGCACACGGTCTTCTTATGTATCACCATTAGCAGAATCTTCCATAGAACTGTCCGCGGCCTGAAAGTGACCTGCATGCGCAGAAGAATAACACGACATCACACACAGCAGCATGCTGTCGTACAGAAGTAAACAGGGAGCAACAGAGGTTAGCTCTGATTAGCTCATGGGAGACTCCCGTTTTTCATTGTCCTCTCACCAGTCACATATCTCCCAAATTATGACAAGTGTTCACAACTTTATGTTCTTTTATTTACGGTTTCTGATGCTGTACAACGCAACTTCCCCACAACTGACTCCCTTCCCCCTTTCTCTCCTTACTGTGTCCGCTCGGACAAATAGCATGCACATAACTCAGAAGAGAGCTTGCAGTCCGGTGGATTTCAGGTGTACGAAAGGGAATTTGTGAGCAGATGATAGCGAGGTAGAGGCGGAAGAGAGCCACATGTTTAATAATGGCTTTTGTGGAGCTTTTTCAATCACTGCGGCTCCATCTACAGCAGAACTGTGACAACAGATGCTCTAGAGTGATGTCAAAGCTGCATCAATTGCAACATGAGTGTCCAGACTGAGGTCGCATTTAAAAAGATCCGATCTATATCGGATTTGGACCACATATGGATGTGGCCCAATTCCGAACTGGAAAAGATTTGACTTGGCCTGTTCACGCTGTAATAAAAAGATCGGATTTGGGTCACATTGGCCTGCAGTCTGAACGTAGCCTAAAACTGTCCAGCAGAAAAAAAGAGCCTTCCATCTGGGAAAATCCACAACGAATATATCCGTGATTTCTGCTGTCATCCGTCTCTACTCGTCTGGCTTTAGGGTATAAAGATTCACAGGCTGTCGGCTCTCGTGCTACATAACAGGTGTGCTCCTTCATTTGTCCAAATGTCACTTCTCTTCTCACTTATAATAAACCAGAAGACTATGTAGTGACTGTATATTATTATTATGATTTCTTCTTGTTCTTCTTCGTACACATTCAATGTAGTGACAGGGGTCTACGCTGCTGGAATTATACAAGCAGAAGAAGAACACCGTGATGATGAAACACGCTCTGTAGCGCTGGTTGTCACAATATGGCAACCTCCATGGAAGGGGGGACCCGCGGTTATGTAGATAGAAATGGCTCATTCTAAGGTAACAGTTCATTGTGTAAGGCCTTTATACACCACTGAAAACATAGTTATGGATCTTATAATGCATTTCTGTCAATAAATCCTCAGAAATGTTACACACTGGACCTTTCAATCAAGAGACAGCTGGTGTGTGGGTCACGGGCGTGTGTCACGTTGAACATTACGTCATGGCAGTTGTGTGTGGCATTGCTATGACCAGCTACATTGAGGGGTTAGTATCTCTGGGTACTATCTGCAATGGAAAATAGGGGACAGCTGGCCACAAGCGAGTCAAGGTGAGGCGAGGCGAGCTGAGCTGGTACCAGCAATAGAAAAGGTGCTTTAGTTGTGTATATTTGATGTGTATCCTGAACTTGGAAAGCACTTTGGTCAACTAGGGTTGTTTTGAAATGTGCTATATAAATAACTTTACTTGGCTTTTGGCTTTTAGTAAAAGATCTCAACAACCATTGCCAATATGTAATTACATTTTAAACAGAGATGCATGTCCCCATCGGGATATTATTTTTTTGTTCTTTTTTTATTTAAAGTGGTTTATTGGCAGTGGAAACAGATTGTACAGTATTCTGAGCAAGGTTACATAATCGCTGTGACCCATTCCCTTTTCTGTATCATTTTAGATCAGTGAATCCAGGCTCCAGCCCTCTCCATGCAGGCATTGCTGCTGTCCCTGGGGCAGTCCCAGAAGATGACTCCACCTTACTTTTGTCAGAAAGAGATGGCAGATGTCTGAGGCAATCACAAGCAGGAGATGCATCAGGTGGTGGAAGCCTTCAAACATGCCCAGACAGTGATGCATCTGAGCTTCCTGACTTCAGGACTCAAAACCGACGTTTACTGCCCAACTTAAAGAATCCTCTGCATGTGATCGATGGGCCCGAGCAACGCTACTTCATCGGCATCATTGACATTTTCACAGTTTACAGTTTTAAGAAGAGACTGGAGCATTTGTGGAAGAGGCTGAGACATCCAGGCCGGTCCTTCTCCACCGTCAGTCCGCAGACTTACTGCCTCAGGCTATGTCATTGGGTACAAGACCATACCAAGTAGACCCTGCATGAGTGGTGGAGACTTCCTACCAACTCTAACTACGCATGTCTAAACAACTAAATGGTCACACACATGCACACACAATCATTTCATCTTCCACATGCTCATAACACAAGCCTGACTTATATTGCTTTGTATTTGTTCCATTTTGAGCATAGAAAATATTAAGAAATCAGATTATAAAATATCAAATATTTTCTGCAGGCATGTAAATTATATTTTGTAGAGAAATTTGTATCAATACAATGAGACTGCTGATATGCAAAGAATCATTTCAAACAAAGAAAGTATTTTGTACTCACCAAATTTATTGCTGTCTACTACATAGTCCTTTTTGTGAAACAGTCAAATAAACAAAACAAACTGCAAATGTGTTTAAACCCACTTTGTGTCCAACTTTTAGAAACAGCCAAAACCAACTCCACTTCTCCATGTGGCTGAAATTACGCCATGTTTTCACATGTTGAAAGTGCTGGCAAACTTTAAATATACTGTAGCAGGGATTTTGAAAGAGAGTAAATTAATGACACTAAATAAAAAAGATTATTATTGTGAGCCTATGCGGATATAACAAACATTAAGTTATGTTAGTATAACAAGTATTATATAAGTATAATAAGTATTATATAGTATATAACGTATTGAGCACAGAACAGATTTTTGTTTACTCAGATGAAATGATTATTTGCATGATAGTAATTTCTCTACAATATATCATTTTGCAAAAGACATTCTGGGTTTAAAATGTTGCATTGTGCACAATTGGCACAAATATTATTAATTAAGTACTTTTCCCAAATACAGTACCAAACATGATTGTGACGCATTAAAAAGAGGATAATATTCTCCTTGCTTTAAAAAAAAAAAAGTATTCCTTATGATGTGTCTTCGTAAAGAAAAGCATAAAAAGACTTTTATAGGCTTTACATGCAGATCTCTGCCTGCGCTCTATTTCATATATTTTGTATGTGGCTGCATTAGAGGGTTTAATAAATACTGAATGCTCTTTTTTTGCAAGCAAAGAGTGTCCTGAAACAAAAGATGGCTGAAACAATCCATGTTTTCTAGCATCATCAGAATGAAGTTGATTTGCAGTGTTTTTAGTAGATTTTCATTTTTGAAGACTTGTGCAATGGAAAGGCAATTTAAGCACAGAAGGTCTATACGTTTTCCTGTAGTTTCACATTTTTTTTCCCCAGAAGGAAGTAGTTTTTTCATTAGTGATGACCTCAAGGCAACTTACGTCAGTGATCATTTAAAAGTACAGAAAAAAAAACAAAAAACTAAATACACCCTCTCTGTAAAGAAGGTTCAGGTGCAAGCAACTTGGTTTTGTCATTCAAGATTAGGCACAGCAGCTGCAAACTCACGTTGTCATGTTTTTTATGCGAGGCATAGCTCTGAGCAAAGGACATTCTAGTGGCTACAAAGCCCTGAAGGGCTGGATGTAGATATGATCCTATTTATTAGTATTTATCAATAGGTATCTGCATACATGGATGTGTTCTCATGTACAGTTTGCACAAATGATCCACTCTGACATAGATTTTGGGCTGCGTGTGGACAACTCACATGCTGACAAATGACATAGTCAGGTTTCTCATAGAAACCCCAAAGCAGATCAGACACAGAGCATCCAGTTTTAAGGTTTTATTGAAAAATAATAATGTAATGGTGTGGTGAGGGGAGGCTGGCAGATGGAGAGAGGGACTTAAATGGAAGTCCCGGGGGTTTCAGGCTGCCAGGTGAGCTTAACAGGCAAGACAGATCCAGGTCCTGAGTTGTTTCCTCAGTTGGCCTGCCCAGTAAGCCTTATTACAAGCCTGCTTTTACATATTCATGTTGTCTTTATGTGCATTGTACAAAGTAAATCCCCCTGTTCCAATGGACGAATGTTACACTCCTGTAATGCTGAAGTAAAGTTGAGTGCATGCAAAAAAATATTTGCAAGTACCACTTAACAGTCAAAATCAAAGGTTAAACTGAGATTTCCTTAATACGCTTAAACGCAAGAGAAAGTATTTCTATGTATTTCTTGATTTTAGCCATTTGCGTGTTGAAGATTCTGTTTAATTTAATGCCACTGTAAAGACCAAATTTCTTTGAAAAAAAAAAGCCCACCCTGAATCGGACAGAATGTAATCAGTTTTCTCCTCTGGAACTCAGCAGTGCCTCTTTAGAATTTGATACTTACTATTCATTCACCTTAAACGTAGAAATACATTGAAAATGAACTAATTTAACTTACAAATGTTATGTTTGCTTTACTGACCAGTATGATTTTTATGCTCATGTATGAATACAAAGAATGAAACTGTTAAGCTGCTTATTTTTGATGATGCCACCAACTTGCACACTGTCAGCTAGCAGATATACAGAACTCCTACCTTGCTGTTTCACTTTTACACAATACAGTACACACAACACTTGTGCAAATATTGACAGACATGCTGAAATCTTTGCCTAATGGATAAAGGGCATGCAGGAGATGAGCTGTAATTTTCCTTTGGTGTTCCATCACATCACACAGAGATACCCAGTGACAGGACAACCTGGCACCGGATATGTCAAGACTTATTGATGTGGGCGATTCCCACATCAAGGGAAAAGGGCCCCGTTTGAAGAGAAACAGGAAAGGTGTCAGTTCTCCTGCAGCTGCAAGGCAAATGTATCTCATTTTGCATATACTAGTTACTATACAACCCATGTCAAATCTTTTTCTGTATGAAAATGCATGTAAGCTCATGAGGAGATAATATCTCACTGGTGCAAGTCATTATTTCAAAATGAATAAAATACAGTAAATGTCTTTAATGTGCCTTATATTCATGTAGCTGTCCAGTGTACACCCCCCCCCCCCAAATGTTTTTGAAAGAAGACTTCAACAAATTAAAAACGAATTACAATGAGAAAAAATTAAGTTTGTAACTAGTTTTGGGAACTAAGACCAGGCATTGAACCCAATTTCCACACACCAAGTACTTAAGCACACCTTTCCCGTTCACCTGCCCTTGACTCAGCTTTCTCATGAGCCATGACAAACAAACGAAATCACTTACCTCCAACGACAGACTCAGAACTTGTTTTCAATCTTTCGGACAGTGAAATGTTTGACGAGCATTTACAACACGTTCTCATCTCAATGCGTCATAATTGACGCTTTCAGACAGCGTCACAAAGATCCTGTCTCAGCATGCACCCTCGCAGTCTCTCTGGCTCCCGCCTCAGCTCCACACTTCCAAACCCAACCGCAGACAGCCTCTCATAGCTCCCCCACCATCAATCACTCACCAACCGAGAGGGATGGGTATTGCTACTTACGGTATCGACCAAAACAGCCCGGCGTCGAGTCTCCAGTCAATACATTACGTCAGTCCATACCTATGCCTACTTTTTGTAATCAGTTCGCAAAAAAGAAATAAAATAAAATAAGATAAATAAATAAAAATGGTTTGCTTGCCACCCAACATGCAAACAACATACTGAAAAAAGAGAAGAGCACGCCCTTTTCTCCTTATGTGCCTGCACCATAAACTATAAAATAAAGGCCATCGCACTCATCCGCACTGCAGGGAGCCTGGCTATCCAAGGCGTTCTCTGGAAGGGCGCCTACTACTTCACAGTTCATCTAACCTTCAGGCATAAGAGCAGCCCAAAATAAAATAAATAATACAATTTAAAATTACATTTAATTTAATTAATGAAAATAAATTAATTAGATAATATAAAATAAAAAATTCGACTCCCTATCCGAAGCACTTTGCTGGATCTTCAACAAATATTGCATATATACATAAATATAGAATAATATATGACTTCCTCACCTTTTTGCCACCCTCTACGCCACCCTCTTATGGCCTCAACATCTCGACTTCCACATTCCACAAACTCAGAGTCCCTCTCTCCCCAGAGAAAACAGAAGGCCCCAACACATCACTGGAGTTCCTGGGCATCACCCTAAACTCAGGGTTACTCCAGGCATCCTTACTCCCAAGAAAATCCACCGAATTTCGTTACTAATTTCCAATCTCCTTCTGGCCTACTGTCACACCAAACGACGTCTTCTCTTACTACTAGGCCACTTAACTACGCCACGCAGATCATCTCACAAGGTCAGTCCTTGTCACATACCTTCCATAGCCACTTCTGTCCCATCTCTCATGACCACATCAAACTAGATGCCACATGCAAACGGAGCTTAAACGTGGTTACATTTCCTTTCATCCTGGAACGACATCTCCTTCTTCCACGACGACCACGTCACCATGCCAAAGACATCCAGCTCTTCACAGATGCTGCCCCTTCTGTCGGCTTCGCAGGCTACAAAGGCGGTAGTTGGTTTGCAGCAGATTGGCCACCTGAATTTTCAGTCGTCTCTCCTTCCCCAACCATCTCTGACATGTACCCAGTCTTATCGCAGCCATTCTTTGGGGGTCTAAATGGTCCAAAAAAATCGCATTATTCTCAGACACAGTGCAGTGGTAGACATAATTAACAGAGGATGGTCCCATTGACCAGACATAAGTGACATAAAAGACTAGAAAGGCGCTATACAAGTACGGAGCATTTACATTTACATTTACATAATGCAATTCATGCAGAGGCTCATCTTGGTTTTCAGCACAGCACCAATTCATCATCCGAGTCTCCCATATCCCAGGCCACGAAAACACTATCGCTGACTCTCTTTCTCGCTCAGATCGGGTTATCTGACTCCATACGCAGACAGAGTCCCAGAATCCAGGTCCTACTGGCATTTTTGGCTTCTTGAGTTCACCGCCTCCAGCCTCCACTACCATCCGAGTCTACACAACACCATGGCCCGACATTTCCACACAATCCACAGACACACTCATTTATCACCTCAAACGCAGCCAAACCAATTTGACTCAATTCTTACCTCGGTCCGTACGAACCAATACGTCTCTATGTGGACTCGAGAACAGCCTCTGCTGTTTCCCCCATCCTATTGTGTCTGTCTGTCTGTCTGTTTTCCCCTAGAGTGTCTGTTTGGTTGCAGGTGGGCATGGTTCCCTCTCCCTGGCTCCTGCTCGCTACCCGTTATCTACCCCAGTCCAGCACGCCAGTATTCGCCGTGGTACACACCATGGCCCGTTTTCATTAGCAACTAGTTTTTGTGACTACCCGTTGCTTATGCTAACCTTGTCTGTTCTCCCTCGTTCCTACAGAGCCACCCGAGTTGTCTAATAAAAACCCCCTTTGCTCACTACTGAACTGCTGTCTCTGTCGTGCCTTGGAGTCCTGTTTAATTGCTCATAACACCTCCCAGATTCTCTGTTCGTCACAGAGTCAGGGAAAGTAGCCACACTCTTCTGGTTTCACCAACACCTGCGCCAAATTCTATCCAAATCCGGCATATCCCCCAAACTCTACTCTGGACATTCATTCCGCAGTTTCGACTCCACCGGTTCCCGTACACCTTCTTGCCAGCAGACACCGGTCTGCTCTTCACTCACGCATTGATCGGCACGAATTCGACTCCTCCCCTTCATCCCTCACCTGTCTTCCCCTTAACCCTTCGTCCATCACACCTCGACCCCTACCCCTCATCCCTTGACACTCTCCCCCATCCCTACATCCCTCAGCCCACACTCGATCTGTTTCTTTTTGTACAATCCATCTCGGCTCCATTATAAGCAATAAACAATTTTAAATCTGTCCGTGGTCATTGTTAGTGAACTACCACTAAAGGCAAGAGCATAATGCGTGGCTAAACACTAAAAGCAATATAATGACATATAGTTTCTGATCACGATTCCCCAGCCTTGACTCCCGTCTAGTGGCCCCTGGTGTGTGTATGAGTGAGTTTTGAATATTTTCCTCTTTTGTGTGATTGTGGGATGCTTGTTATGTTTTGTTTTTGTGTTGTCTCTCTGTGTTTTCACTTTCCCCTACACAGTAGCCCGTAAAGTAATTAAAGCGTATGAGTGTTTGTGTGTGTGTGTTAGAAAAATTAAAATATATGAAAATTTCAACATTCATTCACTCACTCAGCTGTCTGCTATTGCTCATCACCTACCTGCCATCCGCTCCCCGCTGGATAGTTGCACTAGCCTACTGAGATCCTTGTTCTTGGTAAACTTTGCTTTAACCATGTTCTGTTACCAGTTTGCAAGTTAAGATGGTTTTTGCTGTCTCCAGACACCACATCCTGCTGTCTCCAGACACCACATCCTGCTGTCTCCAGACACCACATCCTCCTGTCTCCAGACACCACACCCTGCTGTCTCCAGACACCACATCCTGCTGTCTCCAGACACCACACCCTGCTGTCTACCTGAGATCCCTGGAAATTGTCCATTCACCTTGCTTGTCTGTTGCCTGATCTCAGCCCTGGAGACCAGTCTCTACCTGATCCCACTGGAAATGCCAGGAAATAATTTTTTCATTCAAAATTGATGGACCTTGAAGGGATACTTGGGTAATTTAGGGTGTGTGTGTATGGAGGTGAAAGAGCATTTAACAGTGTTACAGACTCTCTGTGTGTGTGTGTGTGTGCGCGCGCACGCACGCGCGAGTGTTGTGGAAAGAACACTACATCTTGTTTGCTAAATGTTAGTAGTATGTATGTAGGTCTTTGTGAGAGTGTATTTATGTATGTACTTTACCATTTGTGAGAGTGTATGCATGCGTGTGTGAAGATGTAGAGTGCGGCTAGTGCCACAGTAACATAACGAAATGTACTATCAACATGTGTTAAAGTTTACATTGCTTTGCGAGTAGTAATTACCTTAAGAAGGGGAAAAGTAATGGGAGAACGTTGAAGAAGCACGCAGCTCTCACCTTCACTCGTCTGTATTGAGGAAGAGAAGCGCGACCCCTACTGGAGCCCCGAGGCATTACCAACACATCGACGAGCAATTAACCCACACACTCAAGGATTAGCATTATCTGCATTCCACCTCTTCTTCTTCTTCTGTTCCTTTCCGGCAGACTAGGCACTGTTAGTGCATTGCTGCCTCCCACTGGTGATAAAGACAGTTTACATTAAAGCTCCCCCTGACATATATTTTCCAATATAGGTCCGTGGCTTTTAGGAAGTGAAATAGTTCCAATGATCTTTCTGTTTGATTAGGACCATCACCCATCAGAGTTTTTACAGATAATAGATAAACTAGATAATAGAGTCAGTGCTTCAAGAACCACCACGCACAGACGTATGCAAGACATGGGTTTCAGCTGTCGCATTCCTTGTGTCAAGCCACTCTTGAACAAGACACAGCGTCAGAAGCGTCTCGCCTGGGCTAAAGACAAAAAGGACTGGACTGCTGCTGAGTGGTCCAAAGTTATGTTCTCTGATGAAAGTAAATTTTGCATTTCCTTTGGAAATCAAGGTCCCAGAGTCTGGAGGAAGAGAGGAGAGGCACAGAATCCACGTTGCTTGAAGTCCAGTGTAAAGTTTCCACAGTCAGTGATGGTTTGGGGTGCCATGTCATCTGCTGGTGTTGGTCCACTGTGTTTTCTGAGGTCCAAGGTCAACGCAGCCGTCTACCAGGAAGTTTTAGAGCACTTCATGCTTCCTGCTGCTGACCAACTTTATGGAGATGCAGATTTCATTTTCCAACAGGACTTGGCACCTGCACACAGTGCCAAAGCTACCAGTACCTGGTTTAAGGACCATGGTATCCCTGTTCTTAATTAGCCAGCAAACTGGCCTGACCATAACCCTATAGAAAATCTATGGGGTATTGTGAAGAGGAAGATGCGATACGCCAGACCCAACAATGCAGAAGAGCTGAAGGCCACTATCAGAGCAACCTGGGCTCTTATAACACCTGAGCAGTGCCACAGACTGATCGACT